AGCACTAAATATGGAATGTCACAAGCTAGGCTCTTGTTCCAGATTTGTTATGGGAGTTTGGAAGACTCATTGCATATCTGCTTTCATAGAATCATAAAATCCTAGGGCTGGAAGAGACCTCAGGAGGTCATTGAGTCCAACCCCCTGCCCAAAGCAGGACCAATCCCAACTAAATCATACCAGCCAGGGCTTTGTCAAATCAGGATTTCAAAACCTCTAGGGATGGAGATCCCACCACCTCCCTAGATAACCTATTCCAGTGCTTCACCATCCTTCTAGTGAAATAGTTTTACCTAATATTCAACCTAGACCTTCCCCATTGTAACTTGAGACCATTGTTCCTCATTCTGTCACTACTAAGAACAGCTTCTCTTGATCCTCTTTGAAACTCCCTTCAGATAGTTGAAGGCTGCTATCAAATCCCCCCTCACTCTTTTCTTCTGTAGACTAAATAAGCACAATTCCCTCAGCCTCTCCTTGTAAGTCATGTGCTTCAACCCCCTAATAATTTCTGTTCCCCTTCGCTGGACTTTCTCCAATGTGTCCACATCCTTTCTGTAATGGTGGGGCCAGAATTGGACACAATACTCCAGATGTGGCTTCACAAATGCCAAATAAAGGGGAATAATCACTTCTCTAGATCTGCTGGCAATCCTCCTAATATGCCGTTAGCCTTTTTGGCTACAAGGGCACACTGTTGACTCATAGCCCTCTTCTTGTTCACTGTAGTCCCCAGGTCCTTTTCAGCAGAACTGCTGCTTTGCCAATTGGTCCCCAGCCTGTAAAAGTGCTTTGGGATTCTTCCGTCCCAAGTGCAGGACTCTGCACTTGTTCTTGTTGAATCTCGTCAGATTTCTTTTGTCCCAATCCTTCAATTTGTCTAGGTCACTCTGGACCCGATCTCTTCCCTCCAATGTATCTACCGCTCTCCCTAGCTTAGTGTCAAGGCAGTTGCCTGTTTGGCTTCATACACTCACTGCACTTTAGACTGCAAGGTCTGAGCAGCACATAAAGCGACAAAAAGGCTTTGTGACTCAATGTAGCTGATCAGTATTTAGATTAAACTCACCTTGAATGAGCAAAGATCAGGTAGGAGAAAAATCAAAGAACCACACATCAAGTTCATGTAAAAATTAAGTCAGGGATGCTGAGGTTGTGCTGAGGGTGCAATCCATCCCCTCATCCAGGTCATTAATTTTCCAACCATTCACCATTATGGATGATTCAGAATTTAGTTGGATACTTAATGCTTATTCAAGCTTTAAAATTTTCTGTGAAATGAAAAATGTGGTTTTGTGTAGCATTTTCTACTAGTCTGAAGTTATTTTTCCTAACTCAGATTTCATTTTGTTTGAAATGATCCTTTTCATTTCAATTCCTCTTCTGTCCCTTCCTCCCTCCCTCCCTCACTTCAAAACATGAAATGATCAGAACCAAGCTTTGATCTAGAATCCTGACGCAGTTGGTAACAAGGTGGTCAAAAATGAAGCTATGTAAAGATCTCTCCTCCCAGGAAAAAATGCTGACCACTATAAAGCAGTTCTGTTAGAAACCCTGAACATGCACTGAAATACAAGGATGCAGCAACTTGTATTTCAACACTAAGCCTGTCACTATGAAACACAGAAGCCTTTTAGCACCACTTTGGGGCTTGTTACTATTGTTCATATCACCTTAAATTATATCATTCGCATTGGGACAAGGCCTGCACAGCAAAATCCTCTTGTTCTGAAGTCGCTCTATTGAAGAGCTAGTAACTTCATAGTCAAACAATGACTAACCTAGCCTGTAAATTCAGGGAGGAGAAGTTGTAAAACAGTGGGGCCAAGGTTCAAGATGCTCTTTAGAAGATGGTAAACCAGGCGTGTTGTCAGCAAACTGTGCACACAGAGCCTCCATCCACACTACAGCGCTATTTCGGGATACTGGAGTATCCCAAAATAGCTATCCTGCGTCTTAAGAGCAAGCCTGTTATTTCAAAATATAAGGGGCTCACTATTCCGATATCCTTATAAACCTCATACCACGAGGATTAAGGGATGTTTCGGAATAGCAGGTTATTTTGAAACGTATGTAATAAGCTATTTCGAAATAAGATATGCAATTTGTGTAGCTCAAATTGCATATCTTATTTCGAGCTATGGTGCAGTGTAGATGCACCCAGACTGTTTAATTTTTAAAGTGGGCACTACACACGGTAGAGTGGCGTCCTGTGCTAAGTCTTCTGTAGATCTCCATTTCACTGAACATCTTTTACAACTGGGGGCTCAGGAGTGTGTTCTCAGGGCTACGTAGCTGATGGCTTTTCTACTGTGCGTGTTTTTGTTTGTTTGTTTCTTAAATAAACTAGGGGGTGGTGCCCCTTGCTCGGTTCGTTCGCCAACCCCCCAGTCTTTGGGGGTTAGCAAACCCAACTCTTCCCCCGGTGGCTGGGGGCTATGCCAGACCTAGCCTCTTGCCCCCTCCACCCCAGCTGCATCACTGGCTTCTCGGCCCCCTTCCCTGGCTTCTCCCCCAGGCTCTCAGCCCACCCGTCCGGCCGCAGCGAACCCTGGCCTCCTACCCCCTTCCAACCTCCCCATTCTCCCCCCAGCCTCTCTTCTCCCCTGCCCCCTCCCCAGTCACAACCCAGCCCAGCCTTTATCAAATCCTTGTCCAACAAACAAAACTATTTACTTTTCACTTGTGGTCACATATTCCTGCCCCAGAAGTCATCACTTGCCCCCCCGTCATTTCTCAAATGTTCCCACACCTCAATGCAACCACCATTTCTTACATCTGACACTGCCCTCTATGGCACACCAATGCCCAGTGGCCCCATAGACGGTGACGGCCATTTGGAACAAACACGAACTTGACAAATTTGGGTCTCTCTGATCAAGTCTTATATAAAAATAACTAAAAAACCAACACTCCGGTAATCTGAAGAAGTGGGCTGTGACCACGAAAGCTCATGATACCATTCTACATGTTTTGATAGTCTTTTAAGGTGCTACTAAACTATTTGCTGTTTTTTAAGTTTATCCTGTACAGACTAACTCGGCTACCCCTTGAAGCTAAAAAAACAGAGTGCTTTTCCCCCCCTTATGTTTGCCTTACATGCCTGCAGTTAAACGGACTGGCAAACTTTTGTCCTGTCAGATAGTTATACAGTGTGTGGGCAGTGAGTTCACCTTCCTCTAGATCTCAGAGCACTGCTCACATGAGTGAGGACAAATTCCCAATTGTCAAAGCTGCCTGTGAGAGTAGGAGGTGATGATAAGCACATCTCTGTACTTGCCATCTAATTAGGGTGACCTATGAGGAATACGGGAAACCAAGGGGGAGCTTGCTGGCGCTCAGGGCTTTAGCCCCGTGGCGTGGGAGGAACCACTGTCCCTCAGGGCTTCAGCCTTGCAGGGGACAGGGGAGGAGCCACCAGCGCTTGTGGCTCCAGTGGCTGAAGCTCCGAGTGCTGGCGGCTCCCCGCCCTCCTGCAGGGATGAAGTTTACCCCCGCAGCATGCAGAGTGGGGAGGAAAGGGGAGCCACTGGTGCTTGGGGATTCAGCAGCTGAAGCCCTGAGTGCTGGCGGGTCCTCCTCCGCATCCTGTAGGGGAAATACGGGACAATGTGCCTGTTTTTTAAAAAAAAGTCGGGATGCCAGGAGGAGGCCGTAAAAACGGGATGGATGGTCACTTACATGTAATACTACTGCAACCACATATCACTGAAGTAAGAGACCACCAGAGTGACAGCCCAGAGAACACAATGGGAAACACCATGTCAAGCTTCTGCACGCTACCCCACTAATTTGCTTCAGTCCTGATGGACAACCTCTGGTAGCAAAGGGAAAGCAATATCAAAGCTTATTCAGCCTGGCTTTGTGTTAATACTGCCAGCACTTCCAGATAACACAACAATGGTTTTCATAACTCAGGACCTCACAGTCCTATGAGCAGAGAGTCAGGAATAAGTGACTTTCTCCTTCTACTGCTAGGGCTGACAAGAGTTTGTTGAAACCTTTGGGCAATTCACTCAGCTTCTCTGTAACTAGCTTCTCCACCTGAAAAATGGGGCAAAACACCCTTACATCAAAGGGACAGTTGAAAATGTATAAAGATATAATCTGCAATGATGAGCAAGGATAATTATTATCTTACCTGAGCTCACCTCATGATGCATTCAACCCCAGTTATCAGATGGTACAAATGCACAATCGGTCACAAAAATCAGTGACAATATTTTAATAATAATACACTGATTTGTGGCTCTTGGAGCCATGGAGAGGTGCTTCTCACTGCCCCCAGGCTGCTGTGGTAAGAGAAGGCTGGGGTAGTCCTGTCTCCTTGGAGCAGTGTGCACCCTGAATCCCTCATTTCCAGTCCCACCTGAGCCTCCCCCACACCCACCAGGCACACTAAAGCTCCCCCCTCCCTGATTTGAACAGGCACATACACAATTATTATACATGAAACTTTAACACCCTGGTCTGATGGACAAATATGATCATACCCTTTTTAGCAGTGAGGAAAATTTGAAAGAACTTAAGTGGAAGTGTGTTTCAGAGCCTGGGATGGACCTCTGGACTCATAGTCCATGCCTTCATAAATATACATAATTCCCACTGGATCAAACCCCATTTTGGAAAACTAGCTGTGTATACAGACCAGCATTTACTAATTCCTTCCCTTCCTTCCGTTGTAAAAATTAGAGGGATTTTCCCCTGATGAACGCCAAATTACTACTATTTAATTGTCCTTTCACATTAAAATAATTTCTAACACTACAGCTGAGAAAAGAATTTGAGCACAGAATACTAAAGAGTCCAACACTTCATATGAGATTGAACAAATCATAACAATTTACAATATTAGCAAGCAGTTTAGCAGTGATATGGCTGACTTAACACGGTCATGGAATGACATTTAAATGGGCCTAATGATACTTCATTCACTGCTTTTGTGTGAACTTCATTACAAAAATGTCAGAAGATAGATAAATGAATAATCAGTGTCATACCAGAGCAGACATATTCCTTTTTCTGAACGTCCGCCACATTGAAACCCCGTAGGTGTACGGGCGCCATGCAGAATGTGAACTGCCCAATTGAGCGCCTCTGCCGCAGCCAGTCAGACAGCCACGCCAGGTGGCAGTCACAATACAGGTAGTTGGAGTGAAGTCGCCTGCAATGGACAGAAAGAGTCACATCACATCCGAATGTTTTAGAAACAGCGATAAAAACAAAGCAAATGCACATACGTTCTCAGCAACACTATGCTAACACCATTGCATGAATTTTCACACAGGAGATGAATTATTACAGTAAGGGGGAAAGGCGTAAATCCACACCACTGAAGGGGCTTTCATTGAATCAAATTTTCTTGTCTATTGTACTGCGAAATCAATGAGTGAATCTGACAAGAAGCAGAGCTCCAAGAAAGCACCCCAAAGGCTGGGTGTGCAATCAACCCAAGAAACCGAAACATTTCCAGCAGACAGCAATCTTTGGTGAAATGACCAGTGCCAGGAGTACCATAGCAGCTTCCTGGCAGTTGGAGGCCTTTACATTAGGGAGGGATAAACAAACATAGAGGACCCCCCAAAAAGAAAAAAAATAATATCTATCAACTGAACATTTTCTAACCAATGAAAGTTTTAGTCCAATTTAGGTGAAGATTCCTCCTTCCCCAGGATGAAATAGTTTAATAGAAGCATCACTTATTGTCATGGCCATCCACTGAGCTTCTAAAAGGAGTCTGAGAAGTACTGTTCAGCAGTGGGTTGTTTATTTTACAGGCTCACCACAGACTGAAATCTTAAATACCAAATACATAAGTGCTCTGAGACACATACATTACTTGCTCTTCCCCGCAGCCTGCCACTTCAAACAACAGTTCAAACAACAGTTTTAATGTGATGCAATTTCACAGGAAAAGATGTAAACGTATAGCCCATCAGCTAGCTTTAATCCTCTCCCTCCCCTGACCTTTCACACTGTAAACACACAACAAGGAATGAACCCAATGCGGTTTAATAACTACCGCACACATTAGATTAGAGTTTCATAAGTTAAAACTGGAAAGATTAAACATTTCCTTCCTGTTAATGAGTCATTATGGCAAACTTGAAATGACAAAACCCCCTGTAGGATCTCATTAATCAAAGTGTTCGTAACTGCGACACAGCAATAGATCACGTACTACTTTTAAAAAACAATCGGTGAGTACAGGATTTAGCTTTGCCTATCTCCAGAATAAATTAACCATCAATCCGAGGGTTCTTCATATTACACCATGGCAGCAGAGATCAGCAGTGACGCCTGAGCTGACAGGCCCTAGATTTGTAAGTCTGGGGGGAGCCAGTGACACATTTTCAGGGGCTGAGCCTCAAGCTTGGAATTCATCTCCTTGCTTTGGCTAGTAGCGCCACTGGGCATGCCATGAAGCATATCTATTCAACTTCCAGACAAAGAGGTAGGGCAGAGCAGTGATGCCGTTATACATTGTGGCTATGTCTATACAGCTTCCCTCTTCTGCAAAAGCCGATGCAAATGAAGCATGGATTAGCATATTGACATGCTTAATTTGCATAATTAATTAGGTGCCGGTTTTGCGCAAAAGATTTTTGTGCAAAAAGGCTCCATCTACACAGCGCCCCTGAAAAAATGAGGAAGAATGGCTCTTGCGCAAGAAGGGGTTTTTGCGCAAAAGGGGTCTGTGTAGATGGCGCCTTTATGCACAAAAACTTCTTGTGCAAAAACTGCGCCTAATTAATTATGTAAAGGAAGTGTGGCAATATGCTAATCCCTGCTTCATTTGCATTGGTTTTTGCAGAAGAGGGAACCGTGTAGATGTAGCCTTCCACAGTTTTAGACGACACGACATCAGGTTAGATATTTGGTCAAATGTTTTTATTAGAATGGGTTTTGTATTTAATTTTGGACAGGCACCCGTGTAGAAATGGAAAGAACAAATATATACTGTCACAAAGCAGAGAAAACACTGTCTAGGAAAAGATCACCCTAACTGCAGCAAGGCTGTGTCAACCTATAGATGAACAATTTCGTACAGATAACTTGACAAAGAAGTAGCATTCCTTCCCATCACAACATACAACAGTATGCTATGGTGAGACTCAGCATTGTACTTTCCAAAGAAAGTGTGAACATGCCTTTTTTTGTATTCAGACAAGGCTCATATGCTAAAAATTTCACAAGAACTGCTTCTAGTTCTTCTATTTATTTTCTTGCTAGATATGTTGGGCCAGTTTTGGGTTTAAATATTTTAACAGTGGGAATTAGATTCCTTCTCAGTCTGCCTGTACTGCCCCATGTGAGCTCTGGCTTTAGACTTGATAATGGTGTTAGTGTTGAAATGCTGAAGCATGCCACGGGTGTTTGGGAATTGCTCTTGGTCCATTGTAAACAAGCTGTCAAGCTTAACCAGGTAGCATGGCCCTATAGCAATAAATAAATTAATGAATACAATAAGAATGCTTTAAAAGGGCTCCCATTGTGCTGAAAAACATGGCTCAACCGTCCTTTGTGTAAGTCAGGAGCACTGCAGCCATTCTGTGTGTGTGTGTGTGTGTGTTTTAATGTACTGTGATATTTATATAATGTATATTAAAAAGTAATGGTTTGCAAATTAAAATTTCAGCCTTGAAAATCTATAAATGTAATTATTTACCACTGCAGTCACTCACAGATGCAGAGACAGCAGCAAACTTACCATTAAGGAAATTAAAACAGGGGCCCTGTTTAGCATAAATAAAGCTGTTTCACACAAATGAAAGCAGATCAATAGAAACTAATTCCTGTAAATTCCAATAAAGAGTAAAAAAATCAATAAAAGAAAAAAAAATAACAGAGAGAGGCGTTAGGTCGAGCAGATCAGCACAGAAGAGTGGATTTATTTATCTTCTTTTTTTAAAGGATTCTTAAGTGCTACAATTATATTAGTACATTTTTCTCTCCTTTAAAGGTCATATTGATTGGACATTTTCTTAGCTTTTCCTCCCGGTTTCTTCATAATGGACTGGATTTTTTTGTTTTAAAAATTCACAACTGTTGTTCTTATAAAATAAGCTGGACTGAGAGTACTGAGGTGAAAGTTTTTTATCCAACTTTCCCAACTACCTATCAATGGACCCCCATATTCACTATAATTACATCCAGTTTATCCTTTAGGGAAATATAGGGGATTGCATCATCTCCAAGGCCCATTCAATCTATGGTGTCTCTGATAAACATGCTAACATAATAGTCAGGTGTGGTGATATTTTTGTAATGTGGACACCGAAGGCATGTCTACACAGCATGGCTAAATTTGAAATAAGCTACGCAACGTGAGCTACTTCAATCGCATAGCTTAAGTCGAAATAGCTTATTTTGAATTTGGGCAGGCCCATCCAGCACTTATTTTGAAACAAAGAGCTCTTCCTCCAACTTCCCTTATTCCTCGTACAATGAAGTTCACAGAAGTTGGAGTAAGAAGCCTGTTATTTTGAATTTATTTCAAAATAACGGGCTTGCTGTGTAGAGGTGCAATACGTTATTTTGGAATAATTAACGTTATTCTGAAATAATGCTGCTTTGTAGACCTGCCCTTAAGTCACTGAGAATTAAATGGAGACTATATCCATTCTACATAATGTACTGCACAGCCATCAGATGACTAGATTTGGATAACTGATTGAAGGATCAAACACTGCATTCTACCTTCCGAACTTTAATCATCATGTGATAAATTCTATGCAATATGCTTTCTCTCATAGAGTATGCCCCTTCTGAAAGCAGTTTCTTTGAATGTATATCAACACAGAAGAGACAGAAAAGAATATATAGATACTTAAGTTCACAGACACATTACATGAGAGAATGTACTGCCATTTCTCCCCTCATTAATGCCTCTATCTGAACATTTTATCTCACAAAACAATAGGAGATCTGTTTCTAAGTTGACTTGTTCAGAGTTGCATTACCTGCATTGTTGCAAAAAGACACTATTACTTACTTCTGCAAAGTATGTTTAATATCAAAGCTATATTGTCCTGAAATATGAACCAACAATGGTCAAGTGTGTTTCTAACCATTTTTGGTTATGCAAAAGAATGTTAATATTTAGTCATAATCTTTGTGAGATGTAATGGTAATGAGCTGGGAAAAATGGAACAATTTCAGCTTTTAGGGAGCAGGAGAAGAATTTATGCAACATTTGCGATGTCTGTAGTTATCTTACATGTATTATTCTTTTGATGGCTTTTCTTCCTCTGACAAAACAGAGGAAAGGTAAAATTTAAAAAAAATTAAATCGCTGTATTACAATTCTACCTTTTAAAAAGTTAAACATTGAACTGTTGCATGTAATATGGCAGCCTTTGAGACTCGCACATGCCACTTGCTATTTAGGAAACTACCTTTGCAGAACATAAGGTGAATAAATACAAATACCAGCTTTTAAAGGTGCCCTTTTAGCCACAGACTCTAAATTAAATTTGCAGCAAATCCTTTTAGAGTGGGTCAGCATTCATGTTCTGTAAAATGCGGTTCTCAGAATTCAATATAAAAGCTTCTCTTTATAAATCCTATTTATGACTTCCTTCCTTTTTTCCCCTGTTCCCTTTTTTTTCTTGTTTAATTACAGCGAAGGGGGATTAGTCAGTGTAAGTCTCCAGGGAGCGATATACAAAGCCATCTCCGAAATTAAACTAAAGGGAAAATGGCAGCAGGCATTGAGCTCTGGGAACAGACAAGATTGATTGATCTGAAGTAGCCAGACAAAATATTCTGGATCATTAAGGGGAAGAAATACTTTAACCAAGTCCTCATCTCTCCCCAAAACCAGATACAATTATAAAACCTCTTTAATCAGTTACATTATGCTGACATCTTTTAATGTAATTCTTTAAAGGAGAAAAGAAAGTAAATAGAAATTAGTGGCTATCACTTTACGGAAATCAGCCTATGAACAGAGAAGAACCACTTTTCTTCAGGTAACTGACCTACTGTGATTATATGGAAACACATATTCACACACTACAGTCTCCTCCTCAGTACTATGAACAGGTTGCTCATATTTGGCTTGCTGAATATTTTGGAGTAAATGTATGTTGCCTTTTTTTATTCCCTGGAGTAAAACCAAACAGGCTTTTCATCATTATTATTATTATTATTATTATTATTATATAAATAATAATATAAAGACTTCTGGAGCTGTGTATTTATTGAAAGGGAATTATTTTGGAAAAGGCTAGGTGAGATAGAGCTGCAAAGATGATTACATAACTCTTTGGAATATTACCTGTAAACCCTCCATCTAAATTTGACAGCAATTACACATAAGTCAATTGAATTCTCCTTGTATGCGGTTCCTCTAGAGGTGGCTGGGAATTTTCTAGAGGAATCTTTTGACAATGGAAAAAGAATCAAATTTGTCACAATAGCAAATGTTTTGCAAAAATGAGTCAATTTCTACTAAATTTAATTCGGAGAGGAAACATTTTAAAATAAAATGTGTTAGATTTTTTTTTGTTGAAAAATAACTTGATTTCCAATTTATTTTATTTTGTATTTAAAAAATAAAAGTAGTTTTAAATGTCAAAATGAGATTGAAACATTTTGATTTTGATTATCAAAATTAAGGATTTTGACACACTTTTTTTTATTAAGTTTTATTTCAGGGATATTATGAAAGTTTTGAGTTTGTTCCATTTTGGAACAACTTTTTCTTTATTTACTTGATGGAATTTTCCACCAATTGAAAATCTTGTTTGCACTGCTCTGACTTCTGCAAGATCCCAGGTCAAACTGTGCACATATTTAAAAGCTGCATAACCCCATCCTATATATAGTAGCCCAGTGTCTGTGAGTCTGTAATGCTGAAATGCTGGCTGTTGCCTCTGGGCGGCGCTGTTGCCTGAAATGCTGGCTGTTCCCTCTGGGCTGCCCATGCTGTATGGGGAGCACGGAGCCCAAACAGTCACTTGCACCACTTGCTCCCACGCAGCAGCTCAGCTGAGTGGCGCAGAAGTCAGCCGAGCTCCAAGGCGGGAGACGAAGGGGGGCAGAGCGGTGACATGTGGTGTGACAGCGGCTCCAGGCCCCGTCCCCTGGCTGTGAACGTCACTGCCCCCCCTCCCACCGTGGTGCTCGGCTGACTTCTGAGCCACTCAGCCGGGCCGCTGCGTGAGAGCAAGTGGTGAAAGTGACCGTTTGAGGTCCGTGCTCCCCATACAGCACAGGGAGCGCGGAGCCCAAATGGCCACTCCGGCTCCGCAGTCTCCCGAGAGAGAGGCAGGAGGGGGAGGAGAAGAGAAAGAGAGAGACAGAGAGAAAGGCAGGAGGTGAAGGAGAACTGAGAAAGAGAGAGAGGGGGAGGCAGTAGGAGGAGGAGGAAGGAGAGAGACAGACAGGGAGCGAGAGACCGGAGGCTCAGGAGAGAAGACCGATGTGGAGGAGAGACCTGAAAATACCGTTTTATGACGGGCTAATTGGCTAGTCATACTAGATTTGCATAGGTTGCAAACAGGGCTGTTGCTAGAAATATTAGTGCCCTACGTAGTCCCCCATAGTGGAGTGGTCCCTCCGCAGGGTGGGAGAGGGAGGGCTGTGCTCAGGGCTGGGGGAGCAGGAGCAAGGAAGGGACGGGAGACAGCAGGAGTTGGGCCTGCCCCTGCCCTCCTTGGGGAGGAGGGCAGTAGGAAGTGGAGCAACATGGCCCCAGCCCACTCTGCTCAGCAGGCTACCAGCTGTGTCGCTTAGGGGAGGGAACTTGGGGGAAGAATGGGAAGAACCCCCCCACACACACACACACTCACTGGTGGTAGGAAGCAGAGCAATGTGGCTGGGAGTCAGGGGAGTGGAATGGGCTGGAGTCAGGTTGCCCACTTCCCCCCACTGCTGCTGGTTAGCATGGGGGGAGGACCCCTGCGCTCGGTGCAGGCCCCTGCTACTCTTCCCAGGCTGCATCGCACAAGGGAGGGTGGAACGGAGACAGGGGTAGAGCGAGGGGTATCCCAGGTCCTGCACTCCCCCTAGTGATGGCCCTGTTGGGTGCAGCCCACAGAGGTGGGGTGGCCAGGCAATGGGGCTAGCTGGCAGAGCTGGCACCACCCCATACACAGCACTTTGCTGTCTGTGGCACCACAGAATTTGGAGCAAATTTGATGCCCCAGATTTCATGA